GAGTGGGGTGCCAGCCCCATATACCAGAGGTAGTGAGTTCAAACCCAGCTCTGGCCAAAAAAAAAAAAGATAGGTATATCTTGCCAAAAATAGTCTTTTGCTCTACATAACAGAAAATTTTTGGAAAAAAATATGGAAAGATTCTAGTATTCATAACTTATTTAATGAATAAGTTCCAATTACGTATGTGCTAGAATACAGTCAACAAATATAATAAAGGCAGATCACTTCTGATAGTTACAAGTTTTATAAGGAAATACATCAAGGCCAGGCACAGTGGCTCACACCTGTTATCCCAACACCTTGGCCAGGAGGACTGCTTGAGGCCAGTTCAAGGTTGCAGTGAGCAATGATTGCACCACTGAATTCCTGCCTGGTTGACAGAGTGAAACCTTGTCTGAAAAATAAGATGGCCTTTTTGTCTACTTGCCCTGGCAATGGAGGTCCATTCTCTGTGTTTGGTGAATGTATCTTGCTCCATAAGCCTGTATCTTGCTTTTACTATATAAATCTATTTTTCTCTTCCTCAATAAACTTTGTTCCATAAAAATTAAATAAAATGGCTCAGCGCCTATAGCTCAACCGGCTAAGGCGCCAGCCACGTACACCTAAGGTGGCGGGTTCGAATCCCCAGCCCGGACCGCCAAACAACAATGACGGCTGCAACCAAAAAATAGCCGGGCGTTGTGGCGGGCGCCTGTGGTCCCAGCTACTTGGGAGGCGGAGGCAGGAGACTCGCTTGCGCCCAGGAGTTGGAGGTTGCTGTGAGCTGTAATGCCACAGCACTCTGTCCAGGGGGACAGCTTGAGGCTCTGTCTCAAAAAAAAAAAAAAAAAGAAAGAAAAATTAAATAAAATAATAAAATAGGCTGAGCATAATTCTAGCTCTCTAGGAGGCCAAGAAGGGTGGATTGCTTGAGCTCAGGAGTTCAAGACCACCCTGAGCAAGAGTGAGTCTCTACTAAAAATAGAAAAACTAGCTGGGTGTCTTGGCAAGCACCTATAGTCCCTGCTGCTCAGGAGGCTGAAGCAAGAGGGATCACTTGAGCCTAAGAGTTTGAGGCTGCTGTGAGCTATGACAACATTGCACTCTACCCAAGGGCAACAGAGTGAGACTCTGACTCCAAAGTATAAAAATAATAAAATAAAATAAAAAGATTAGTTGTAAACAAACATTAACAAAATAGAGCAAAATAAAGTAGCTAGACAGATTTGATGTTCTACTTTGCTTATCAAATCGATCCTGATTAATGATAATCAGTGTACATATCTATGGGGAAAAGCCACATATGGCTATAAGTAACTTATTCCAATAGTTGTAAATATCTAATAATTTAGACAATGATATAAGGAAATCAATAAAACAAGTCCATCAATCCACTAATAATTATAAAAATTTTAATTAAATTATATTATCATTAACCCAAACTCAATGAGCTCTTAAGAAAAAACAAACAGCGACAATGATAGTGTAGTGTAGTTCCTTACACTATCAACTTCCACATAAATAATGGATCCTATTTTGTAAGAGGAATCTTTATCTATCTTCAGGTTCTCTTTCAGAATTAAATGATAATATGAAAAACAAAAGAAAGAAAAAATTCCTGGGGAAAAAATCCATATAAAATATGGATTCTAGGCTCGGCGCCTATAGCTCAACGGGCTAAGGCGCCAGCCACGTACACCTAAGGTGGCGGGTTCGAATCCCCAGCCCGGACCCG